GTTTGGCATTTTGGCAAATAAAACTCGTAACACCAAATGTGAGCCAATCAGATCCTTGCTAATCTATTATTTCTTTGTCATATAAATAGCTTTTTTTTTTAGAAGATCCAATCGGCAGTCAAAATAATTATCAACACTGCTCGTGGCAGCCCTCCTCCATGCTGAATGTTTGAGTTAAAAGGAAATATGAAACATCTGGACCTTTAGCTTAAATGAGTGGACGTTATTTATTATGTTCTTGTTGGATTTTGAAAAGTAATGAAACATTGAATTATTCCACGATAACTTCACTTTGACAAGCTATTTCTACTTCAAACTTATAAATTCAAGGGTTTTGTGTTTAAGTGAAGTCTGCCCATGCACCCAAGAGAGCGCGCTTCTCAATCCTTCCCATGACCTGGCATGTGGCCTGAGACAGAAATTTGGTCTGAAATTCCCTTTCTTTACTTTTCCATTTTCTCCCTGGCTGAGACTGAGTCTCACGGGACCTTTGTGGGAAGAATGTTCGTTTGCTTAGTCTATACACACATGCAGGGTTGGTGACCAACTTGTTCTTCAGAACAGAATGGTTTCATAAAAAAAATTAAAAAACACACACACAGACACACACACACACACACACACACACACACATATATATATATATATATATATATATATATATATATATAGAGAGAGAGAGAGAGAGAGAGATGTATATATATATATGAAATTCAACTAAGTTGAGTTAAGTCCGAGTGAAAACGCTTCTCAAACAAAACAAAAAAAGTTGAGCGGAACTTGATTTTGTCCAATGGGATTTAATTAGATCGTTGTCATTTGCTATTGTTGCGTTCTCATGCGAGTGACAGATTGACCCGCCCTCACGCCAGTAAACACATTATCAGAAAAGAGATGTCATTACAAAGGGGGGAGTTTGTTACATGAATTAAGAAAAAATAATGAGGTGAACGGATAAATCATTTATGAATACTGCAATATTCCATTGAGGTTTGATTTCATGGTGACTTTAAAATGCATTTTTAGAACACTGTATTAAAAATACTCTGACCACTGCTAGCAGGGAAGTCACTAGAGATGCATGGATGTATTTTGGCAGGTCTGGGCATATTTCCCCAGGGGTTGAATTTTAGTAACAACGGGTGTAAAATCAATTGAAATAATGTTATTTTTGGTCAAGGTTGACTAAAAGCATATCTTTAGTTTATCTCCCAGACACTGGTATTTAATATGACTTACTTTATTTTGATCACAATAAATAATGTAAAGTCTCCATCCACCCAACACCAACAAAAGAAACAGAAAAGACTGTACTAAAAATGGCTAGTAGCCAAAACACTTCATGGATTTTCTGGGCATAATGGGTGGTGTTTGACCTAATTAATAACAACGATAGTATAGAGTTGTGCAGCAGCAGGAATGACGTCACTTTTTAGGCAAATCAGCAGTTACCATCACAATGGTTACCTTGACAAAAACGCAATAGGATTTTCCAGCCCGTTCTCATCCCAAGGCGTCATATACGATGCTTTTGCCAAAACATAGATATACAACACACATGGCACCCTGCGTCAAATGAGACGCAGATACAGTGGGTAACAGAAAGTATTCGGACCTCCTTAAATTTTTCACTCTTTGTTATTTTGCAAAATCATTTAAGTTCATTTTATCCCTCATTATTGTACACACAGCATCCCATATTGACAGAAAAACACAAAATTGTTGAATTTTTTTGCACATTTATTAAAAAGAAAAACTGAAATATCACATGGTCCTAAGTATTCAGACCTTGTGACACTCGTATCTTTAACGGTCCAGAAGCACTTCCTGTTTCAGTTTTTTAACACTACATAAAAGCTGGGATAAAATACAACCAACAGAACATTTAAAACTGAATCAAAAAGTTAAACAAACATATTTAAGATGTTTTCTTTACATGTGAAATAAAGAAAACAGTTACAAACTGAAACAGGAAGTGTTTCTGGACCAGTGTTGTTTACATCTTGTGAAATGGCAAAGGAACTGCCTGAAGAGCTCAGAGACAGAATTGTGGCAAGGCACAGATCTGGCCAAGGTTACAAAAAAATTTCTGCTGCACTTAAGGTTCCTAAGAGCACAGTGGCCTCCATAATCCTTAAATGGAAGACGTTTGGGATGACCAGAACCCTTACTAGAGCTGGCGTCCGGCCAAACTGAGCTATCGGTGGAGAAGAGCCTTGGTGAGAGAGGTAAAGAAAAACCCAAAGATCACTGTGGCTGAGCTCCAGAGATGCAGTCGGGAGATGGGAGAAAGTTGGAGTGAGTTAACCATGACTGCAGCAATCCACCAGTCGGGCTTTATGGCAGAGTTGCCCGACGGAAACATCTCCTCAGTCAAAGTTTGCTAAAAAACACCTGAAGGTCTCCAAGATGGTGATAAATAAGATCCTCTAGTCTGACAATACCAAGATAGAACTTTTTGGTATTAATTCTAAGCAGTATACCAGCCACTGCTCATCACCTGTCCAATACAGTCTCAACAGTGAAGCATGGTGGTGGCAGCATCATGCTCTGGGGGTGTTTTTCAGCTGCAGCGACAGGACGACTGGTTGCAATCGAGGGAAAGATGAATGCGGCCAAGTACAGGGATATCCTGGACGAAAACATTCTCCAGAGTGCTCTGGACCTCAGACTGGGCCGAAGGTTCACCTTCCAACAAGACATTGACCCTAAGCACACCACTAAAATAACGAAGGAGTGGCTTCACAACAACTCTGTGGCTGTTCTTGAATGGCCCAGCCAGAGTCCTGACTTAAACCCAATTGAGTATCTCTGGAGAGACCTGAAAATGGCTGTCCACCAACGTTTACCATCCAACCTGACAGAACTGGAGAGGATCTGCAAGGAGGAATGGCAGAGGATACCCAAATCCAGATGTGAAAACTTGTTGCATCTTTCCCAAAAAGACTCATGGCTGTAGATCAAAAGGGTGCTTCTACTAAATACTGAGCAAAGGGTTTGAATACTTAGGACCATGTGATATTTCAGTTTTTGTTTTTTAATAAATGTGCAAAAATGTCAATACAACAGTTCTGTGTTTTTCTGTCAATATGGGGTTCTGTGTGTATAGTAATGAGGGGGAAAAAAGTTAAATGATTTTAGCAAATGGCTGCAATATAACAAAGAGTGAAAAATTTAAGGGGGTCTGATACTTTCCGTATCCACTGTATCTATGGGGTAGAAGGCGCCTCCTAGTGGTCTAACCCTAACCTTACTCCATACCTACACCTACCATAACCAAAGCGTCTCATTTGACGCTAAAGGGTGCCATGTGCATTGGATGTCTACGCTTTGGCAAAAGTGTCATATATGACGCCTTGGGATGAGAATGCGTTGGATTTTCCAACAGGTTTTGGATTATCGTAAAAAACAAGCTCTGTAATCAACAAAAGTTTACGATATTTGCACATTTTGTCCATCAAGGTACTTATCACAGATGAACACAACTTTTATGAAATTTCAAGCCTAAATGCAGTCGCCAGAAGTAAAAGGCTAAAAGTAGGCTAACACCATGGTCCAACGACTTCAACATCCCCATCACTAAGATTTCGCCAACTCTTTCAGTTTTTATATAAAAACATTTTCCCAAAAAGCTTGAGTTAGAATAATTTATGTATGCTCTATTTATAAGCATAATCAGGCTGTAAAAGTGGGCTGAGTTTACCGGTTCAGCGTGATGGCGTTTAATGTTCCTGCCTCTGTTAGCCACTTGATTGCAATCGCTTTTTTCAAGACACATTACAGCTTCAAAAAATCTTGAGTCTGGTAATACTGATGTATTTTCTGTCGTAGAATAAAACGTTAAAGTCTCGTGTTCACTGCAGACCTTATTTCAGCCACTTAACCAAAATCCCTTTCAGAAAACCAATTGACTTTAGAACCCAGAAGTGCTAAAATGCTAACTAGTTTCCACGTTTTGGCCTTAAAAGTGATGTCATACCTGCACCACTTCGAGCTCCACCCATTGCATCCAGAGAGGTGGTGCTGAACATCAAGCTCCACCCTTAGTGGTATGCGAGCATATCATTTTTAATCTCACTGAATTTCCAGAATTGTTATGCCCTTTAAAAAAATCTCATTGAAAAATGTAAAGTTAGACCAGTGCAGTACAATTCTTGAAAGAAGGACTCCGGCAAGCTGGTTGTTTTTTTAGTAAATAAAAAACCTACACGTGACCAGTGAGGTCTGATTACCAAATGAAGGACTCCATAGAAGCCATTTTTAGTGAATACAAAACACTTATGGATCTGTTTAACCAATAACCGACCCACTTATTCGCAAGTCATTATTGGTCCGTCCGTCCATCTAAATGTATTTGAACCATTAATTAATTTTTTGAAAATATTTTATAAAATTAATTAAATATGTTTTGATTTTTTTTTTTTTTTTCGTTTTAGTATTTTTTGGGCCAGTTATTTGAATTGTATTCATTACTGCCTCTAAAAGTTTGTAAAACTATTTCTAAAATCTGTATATGCAACACTATCTCACGACCAATTCGTACGAATTCGACGCATGATTATAGCCTATCTGTATATCTCTATAATCTGTATATATATATAAAATGTATATGAATTGCGTTTCTTCCCCCGTTTAACGTTTCTTCCCCAACTCCCCCGTTTAACATTTCTTCCCCAACAGTTTTAAAGTAGGCTACTAAAAGAATCCTTGACGCAATCTAAGGAATCGTTGAGATGAATCTGAACCAGAACCTCTCTAGATCTGTGTTTGTATGTTGCGTGGCTGTGGTATTGTCGACATCTGGAGGGGATGGGGCGGGGTGATCCGTGCCTGAACTCGGTGATGACTATAGTGTGTGTGTGCGTGTGTGTGTGTGTGTGTGTGTGTGTGTGTGTGTGTGTGTGTGTGTGTGTGTGTGTGTGTGTGTGTGTGTGTGTGTGTGTGTGTGTGTGTGTGTGTGTGTGTAATCTGCAACAGATGACTTCTTGGGGGATGAGAGAGTCTGGCGGAGGCAAATGTTTCCTTGGTTGAAGCCAGATCAGTTTGCAACGGTTGTGTATGGATATCTCAATACAGCTTCATCTCGCTATGCCATCGTGCTACACCTAAACACAATCTAGCTTAAATGTCTGTACTCGGGAGGCACTGCATTCACAATACTTTAATTCCCGGCGAGGAAGAATTTGGCGAACCTGAAGTGAAACAAAGGAATGTATTGAGCGTGTTGTTGTTTGCGCGTCACTGGATGGAATGGCATATTTGCTCTACAGCTTTCTTTTGTTGGGCAGTGGAGCGCTTTTATTCTTCGCGCCTGTTTGCGCCATTTGCCCTGAAACATGCGACTGCCAGCAAGCGCAGCATATCCTCTGCGCTAATAGCGGTCTGCGCACGGTGCCCAAAGCGCCACAGGTGGAGCGCGCAGTGGACGTGCGGGTTCTCGGTCTTGCGGGGAACTTCATTCACAACCTTAGCGCCTTCGACTTCATGCGCTATGGCAACCTAATGAGACTTAATCTCCAGTTTAACCAAATAAGGAATATACACCCTAAAGCATTCGAGAAACTTTCCAAACTGGAGGAACTATATCTGGGCAACAACTTAATCTCGGCAATACAACCTGGGACTCTACAGTCGTTGAAAAAACTCACAATATTATATAGCAATAACAACGAAATAAAGGACATTGCTTCCGAATCCTTTAGTCACTTAAATAGTTTAGTCAAACTGAGACTTGATGGAAATTCTATTGGATTTTTAAAAGAATCCGTTTTCAAAGGTCTGCCAAATTTAATGTTTCTGCACTTAGAATCGAACCAGCTTCGCCATATTGACCGCAATGCGTTTTCGCGGCTCAGCAAACTGCAGTTTTTAAACCTATCAGACAATAAACAAACAGAACTGCGAGATAGTTTTATGTTTTCCCATCTTAAGTCACTTACATCTCTTCTAATAACAGGCAACCAAATAAGGCACATTGGAAATAACGTCTTTCAGAATTTGAAAAAGCTAACAAAACTTTCGCTGAGCCACAACAAGATAGTAAAACTGGACAACGACGCGCTCAAAGGGCTCGCGCGCGTTAAAGAATTCGAGATTGACAAGAACGAGCTAACAGAGATCCTGGCCGGTCTGCTGGACCCGCTCGAGCGCGTCGAACACCTCGACTTCAGCGACAATCACATATCTCGCGTGGACCCCCGTGCTTTCGGCCACCTTTCACATCTAAAAACCTTAAAATTGAAAAACAACCGTCTTGAGATTCTCTCCGGTGGAATTTTCGCCACAAACGGCGTTTTGTTTCACGTAGAACTGAATGGGAATAACTGGACGTGCGACTGCCGGATGGAGAAGTTTAAAAGCTGGATGACGCATGCGCATTCTCTGGGAAAGCTGTTGACCGTGTTTGTGCGCTGCCATCACCCCCCAGCGCTGGCGGGAAAATACATGGACTATGTCAGCAACTCGCAGCTGAGAAATATGAGTGGCTATTGCGAGTCAGAACCTCTGTCTCAGCCAATGGAGAGCCATGGAGCGGTAGCAGAGACATCTATTCTCAAGGAGGAAAGAGAGAAGCGAGAAGGAGAAATACATGAACAAGTTGGGGTCCAAGGGGATGAGGGAGAGCAAGGGATTGAGACAGCATTTGAAAGAAAGAAGAAGAGGAAACTTGTCAGCTCAAGACCAAGACCCACAGCTGGGAAAAATGTCTCTTTAACTGATTTTCCCACAACGATGTCCACGTTCCTGACAGGCCACACCAACTTTGCTTTAGCCCAACAGGAACAGTTCAACCTGCCCTTACAGGACAGTGCCAAGCATCATAACACAAGAATCGCAATGATCACTGATGCATGTCAATTCAACCATGACTCCATCATGAATGTTAGCGTGGAAGACGTCACTTCTAGTACAGCCACAGTCCATTGGAGCACAACTCCTGATGTTGGACTGGTTCAGGGGAAAGAACTTCTTTTCCGGGTTTTATTTGACCGTTTCGGCCATTCTTTCCGTTTCCCACGCTATGTTTACACAGATGGATCTGACCGGGTGGTGACCCTACAAGAGCTTCGCCCCGACTCCACCTACATCACCTGTGTGGAGAGCGTAGTGGACGGGGCTGTGTGCCAGGTTGCCCCCAGAGATCACTGCACTGGATTTGTCACACTTTTGCCCTCGGTGACAAGTGAGGTCAACCTACAGCTGGTCACAGTAGCAGCCCTTACAGCTAATGCTCTGCTTCTGCTTCTGGTGTTCGTATTCTGGTTGGGGCGTGTGTTGAAGAGGCGGATCAGAAGCAGGAAGTCGTCCACTCACGGACATGTACGTCACATGTACTCAACCAGACATCCGTTTCGCTCGACTGTGGCTACTACCTGTGTCTCTTCTGAATTCAGTGGTTACCAAAGTGGCAGACAACTGGCTGAAGAAGGTGACCTCATCCAGTTCCCTGGCGAACGTTTCTTTGACAACAGCCCCGCACGAAGAGATGATGATGTCATAATGCTCAGATACTCTGACTGAACTGTCTTGTGTGTCTGAAAATAGACAATTTTGTCTATTTAGGCCACAAAACCACTGAATTACAGATCTCTTTTCTTATTTTGGTTGATTGTCTAAGCCTCAGCTGCTGGTTGGCAGAATTGCTTGGTTTTGGATTTAATGTATTCCTGTCTTTGTTGAAATTTTGCTTTGTTATATTACTTATTTACATTGTATAGATATACTGCATATCAACTGAAGTACAGCACAAAATTCTTTTGTTACAGTTTTTTTTTTCAACTGCTTACACACAAAATCATTACTTGTCCCACGATTTCTGAAACCTGACACTCACAACACCAGAACCACACACAAAATCTACAAAGCCAAAACTAATTCTTGACCTTCGGCGTTTTCAATTTTCATAAAATACTTTTTGCAAACCACAACACAAAATCTAACAGGAAGTATCTTGATCTCCTTTTTCAAACACAACACATCAAAATGCCACACTAATTGCCTCTCACTAACTCCTCACATGTGCAAACACACATTGCTTTACTTAACACCAACCAATCATGGCTGTTTAGAATATGCCTATAAATAGGCCAAAGGTCAAGTGATAGGTTTTTGGCTTGTGTAAAACTATATTCACAACCACAAAGTAATGCTTACAGTAAAACATAAATAAATAAATAAAATAACATTTGGTTTCAATCTTGCTTTCATGTCTACCGTGAATTTTTCAACATCTCTCTGCCAATTATTTCAATACTGTACAGAAATGTAGGAAGTTCGGAACCCATGAAAGAAGTGTGTGTGTACACTGTAAAAATGAATATGCTTTATTTAATCAATAAAATTGTGGCGACAGATTACAATCAATATTATTTATTAAATTGAACAAATTAGAATTGAGTAATAGTTAATCAAATTAATAGTCTAATTAATTCTAATTTGTAAAATTAAATTAATAATATTGCTTGTAATATGTTGCCACAATTTTATTAATTAGATAAAGCATATTATTTTTTTCAAGTGTATATGATATGTCCAAAAATATAATATTATGTAATAGATAACGTAAGTTTGCTTTTGAGATGTTTTTGTGATATTTTGAATGCAGTGCTTCATTTTGCAAGAGATGTGAGGCATTTTGCATCTTGTGTATGCAATTTTTGGATTTGCATGTAAAATTTTTGGGGAAAAGGAGGCAAAGTTTTGAAAATGTGTGTAAGCAGTTGAAAAAAAACTGTACATTTTATACATTTCACCTTTATCATTGTTTTTTTTTTCCCTCAATAAATATATAGGTGTTAATAGTGATAGTGTTAATGCTAGTTCGTGTGTAATGGTTTCAAAGTTTCTCCCTTTATAATTAATTCAACTCTGATCTTACACCCTTCAATGACAAATTGGATACTTCCGAGCTTTTCTGCAAAACTCCACCATAAGATGGCGCAATAAACAAAAAGTTTTACAAGACTTCAACCCCAACCTTGTCTAACCACAATATAGCAATCATTTATTTAAACTAGCACCCATGCATTCAAACCCTCAGAATAATTCTGCAATAAGTCAGGTGGTTGGAGAAATGTTCATTTCTGATCTTAATGTCTTGACCGCAGTGTTTGTAAAAAGCTGGACAATCTCATAGGCTACACTAGTTGTATCACAGTATTCTGAAAATTATTACGACTAACCGTGAAAAAAGAGATCAGAACATATGGATACAGATATTAAGTGCTTTAATTAAACAGGGCCACAAATGTGTAGAAAAATAGATAAATATTTAAAAAAAAAAAAACTGTACATGCATAAAAGTTTAAACCTGCAGTGTTTACAAACATTCTTTTTTTCCAGATTCATAATTCCATATTCCACAGAATGAATAGCCATATAAATGCTTTATCTTAGAATTTGTTATAAGAGATAGCACACATGCTTGCTTGTCATTTCCAGGAAATGTCTGACATTTTGATTGTCTCTGAACCAGTAAGTGTGAAATGATGTAGCTATGGCGTATTGAGAATACTGTAAGACATTCCTAGTGCCATGAGTGCGATTAGTAAAACACAAGTCCTTTACCATCATTCCTATACATGATTCTGAATTTGGCTGTATAAAATGCATCTTGCATGTTCTGTCAATCCAAAATTCACATGCGACACACTCAGCATTAGGTAATGTGATACCTGATCATTTGCCAAGGGGCCACTGACAACATTTACAGCGAAGACAAACATGTAACAAAAGCTTTAGCTGCATCATCATTCATTTATAAAACTAGAGATTCCTATTTACAATTACAGATTTACAACTGCCCTGATTCAATGCATTTCACACAGCCTTGCCATTAGTTTCAGGATTTAGCACACACTGAAGCTAGCAAAGCATTTACACTGAAATTGGCCAAAAAACAACACGCATACACACAAATATGCACACTTACTCCAGGAGTAAACTAGATGAGTGTCCCTGAGACAGATCAGCTGTAAAAAGCATGAGGAGTGTGAGAAGACTGATAGAGGTACAAAGAGGGTGAGAGACAGGTTTGATAATATGAAAACTAAATTTAGTGTGTGTAAATGGACAGTTTGTTTTCCAGCACTGTATTAAATCACAGTGAGGTTAAATAAAACCACTGGAAACATCCATCTGACCCTCGGCTAATTTCCTGAGATGACAAGGGCCATACATATAAACAAACTTCTGATGAATTATTCGATTCTGCAAAGAGTGATTGATACATACATTCCCCTTTAGTCATAAACATTTTGCTGTTCAGTTTTGCTTTTGCACTGAAGGTACCCTAGGTTATAGGGGCCCTGACCATATGGCTCTGAAGACGAATTATATTTTGTGTTCTCATCATTCTGTGTCTATGTAGAAGCATGTTATAGTTGTGTGTTGTTAGTTATGGTGGGAGTGTGTGGTGAGGTGAGTGTGTGATAGATTCGAAGTTGAGGTTGAGATGCTATTGTGTTGAATGGCATGTTGCTGGGCGGGACTTCCTGTTGGGCTATTTACTCCACCTAAACGTGAACATGAAAGGAGTTCATTAAAATGATGGATTTTCAAAATATATAAAATAATATTCACATTATATGGTAGAAAACACAATATAAATATAGCACCATTCAAAGGTTTGGGGCTGGTAAGATTCTAAAAATGTTTTTGAAAAGTCTTCTACTCTCACCAAGGCTGCATTTTAATCAAAATACAGTAATATTGTGAAATATTATAAACACTTTTAATAACTGTTTTCTATTTTAATAGAATATTTTAATAGAATATTTAATAGAATATTTTAATAATTTTTTCAGAATCCTGTAATTTATTTATGTCAAGCCATCACTCCAGTCGTCAGTGTCACCGCATCCTTCTTAAACATTTATCTCCTATCATTGTTGAAAACTGCTTAATATTAAATTGAACAAAATTCTTTACTGTTACTTTTGATCAATTTAATGCATCCTTGATAAATAAAATTATTCATTACATTAAAAATCTTACGGTAGTGAAAGAATTGAATACATTTTTATTAAAAATTGTTTTATGGTGTGTCAATGTGTCTGGACTTTCTTTATTTCTTTCAATTAAAATTATAATTAAAGAATTTTTTTTTCATTTACTCATTGTTATTCTTAATTCTATAAATGTTCACATTATTGTGATATGGTTTTTACTTATTTATTTTTACATATTTTTTTTATTTTTTTATATGGCATTTTAAAGCTGCAGTCCGGCATTTTTCCTCTTTGTCGCTAATTGCAGTAATTCGCGGAATTATCAACTTTATGTGAGTTGTGCCTCGGCATGGTACAGTGCTTATGAACACAATGTTTGAGGACAGTTGTGAGGCTGTCCGTCACACACCACATAAGAATTTTCACCCTAAATTGTCATCTGAACTAGAAAGAAACATCCACTTTTGTTCTGACCAACTAAAGCCAAGTTCACACTACATGATTTTAAGCCCGATTTATGCCCGATTTGCAAATCGCTGAGTCGCCGACAGGTCAGGGTGTTATCGCGTGCAAATCGCGGGAGATTAGCGGACGATGAACGCTTGCCAATCTGTTAGTATGAAAGAGCCAACAACTCAGCGAAAACGCTCGCAGACGCCTCTCAGACGCGTCGCCGAGCCCAGAAAAATATCTAGCCTGCTAGATATCCAGAGCAGTCGCGCGACTCAAACTCAGTGATGTCAATCATAGCAACGCATGGGTTGAGGACACCAGGTAAATCTTAGTTTTTCTCTCTTTTTTTGCATTTTTTCCCTCAGAGCAGATCATCGAGCAAACAGTGTGCAGTGTGTTCTCTTCTTCGCTGGGTATTGGCGCAATATTTATTTATTTATTGCGTGTTTTTTTCGTGACAAAACGTTGTTTGTTGACAAGATAGAATCGTTGGGTGACAGAGTTGTTGTCAACTTGTTATTTATTTGATTATTTTCAGGATTTAGACCGTAACATAGTACTGAAACAGCTCTGAGTCACAAATGATTTGCTCTTATCATCCGATCGTGGTTGTATCTCTATGCAGTGCGTTGTCAACTCGTGTAGTGAGTTACCTCCTGTTGTGGATCAATCACGTTGTGTTGTGTGGTGTGAACAGTTAACAACTTGAACACTCCAGATTTCACTGAGAGCAAGTCATGTAGTGTGAACCGCACAGGTCAGCCCGACATTTTAAAATAATGTAGTGTGAACAAGGCATAAGGGGAAAAAGCATTGCAGTAAATCGCGCTAATTAAATCTAACGACCGCATATCATATCAAATTATACTTTGTTCTCAAATTGTTAAATCTTAACAACATTTGCATTGCGTGACTACATTTAATGGCCTTCTGATATTATCCTTGTTTTCGCATGGCCCGGTTGCAGTCTCTTTTTCCAAACTCTCAGTAAGTATTTTGCATTGTGGGAGAATCGCTGGTGACTAGTTGTCACTGGTGATTGTCGTTTGAACCTTTCTGGATCCACCATCAAATTGATAAGTTTAATTATATCAAGTGCTGTGAAAAAAGGTTATAAATCTCCACCTCCAACATCCTCACACACAATATAGCTTGTACTAGCCGAGACTCCTTCTTTATGTGTACAGATGTGACGTAATGATGCAAAGACATGCTCAAATCTCCTGCGAAAATCCACCAGTAACACTGGAGCTAAAAACATTATTACAAGCTTACTGCTTTGAATCGAGCTATGGCAAGCAGAGAGTTTTGAACACTGGCTGGTTATATATTTGCTCAAAATTTTATTTTGGATCATTTTTAACCCAAAAAAAGCTACGGACTGCCGCTTTAAACAACTATAGTCCAATTATTATTTTTATTTTCAATTGACTTTTTTCTTTTGCATTCAATTTACTTTTTTCTTTGCCAAAAAAAAAAAAAAAACCATTTAAGCAATATATAATTTATTTGTATTGTTGTTATTATTATTGTAATTATTTTAGGGTGAAATATGAAATGCAGACAGGTTTTAATGTGATTCAACCAAAGAGACGATAGGAGGAGAGAATGACAAAATGATTCATACTAACTCTGTGTTTCTCTCTGTCTCACAGAGACAGGACAGTCTTTATGTGCAAGAAGAATTTGCTTCAGTTGAGTGACTTCTGTCCTGAGTGATGTCACCTCATTCTAAGAGAAGACACAAAAATAAATGAAAACAAAGCAGCAAATGCATGAATCTCTCTTGAAGTTTCAATTGTGTGTTACATAAGGTAGAGACATGTAAACCAAGCGTGAAAGTGTACCTGTAGCTGTAAGTTAGTGTGTGTAAGCTCCTCAGCCTTCCTCTCCAACGATGATACCCAGACTTTTCTCTTCTGTCTGCACCGCGTAGCAGCCGCTC